CTGAAAACCAAGAGCTCTAACAACTTGCACTCTTTTTGACATTGTTGAATTCCTCAAACAATGTCCCAAACTCGAAAAGATTTTGATCGATGTAAGCCCCTCTCTCTCTAGCCTAATAATACTTCTTCTACCATTGGGCTAAATTCACTAGAACTTTGGTTTGTTATGTGCAGATAAATGATTTCAAATTTGAACATACTCTTTTATGGGAGCTTCATCAGAAGGATTGTATTCAGAATAACTACAAGAAGTATAAATTAAAGTCTATCAAAGAAGTCGAGATCAATGGCTACAAAAACCATAGATATAGTGGAGTTCTTTGTCTCGCATGCACGATCTCTAGAGCATTTGATTTTGAAGTCTCCTAGAAACCGAAAGACCAGACTATTTCAACTTGATGAGAGAAGGATCAGTTACATAAAAAGCATATCTCCAAAGAAAATTTCATAAGGTTTTTGGAAGGTTAAGTTCAGGTGCCCAAACTTGTCATACTCTAATAGCTCTTTTGATGCATCTGAAACACTCATTTTATGTTGTTTTTAATTATCTTTTTCTAACTTTGAACTTTTTTGTTCTAATTTTTGGGATATATCCTAGATTTTAAATCTACTTCTTTTTTTGGGTTTTAGACAATCAATTATGACAATATATTCTCAAGCTCATAGCTTAAGATCACGGATATTGGTTTATTAATTATATTCTTGAAAACATTATATAACTAATCTTTTATCTTATATATATTGCAACAAGTTGATCATAGAAAAATTCCCCACTTATTTTAAACACGAGTCGTAAATTTGTGTGTCATTTTAAGGACATACAAGCCGTGAGTCAACTGACTCATTTCGGGTGGAATATTGAAAAGATTGCGTTTTAATAACACAAGTTCACTGTAGGTATAAATGACGAAGTCTCTGCATTTCAACAAATCTATGGATTATTTATTTCACGACTGATTGAATCAGTTGTTGAAAATTTAACCATTGGGCTAAGTTCAAATTAAACCAAAGTTTGATATAAGTAGATAAAATCATCTCACATTTGAACCTTCTCTTTTCTGGGAGCTTCATCAGAACGGTTGTATTCAGAATGACTACAATTATAAATTAAAGTCTATCAAAAAAGTCAAGATCAATGGCTACAAAAACTACTGACATAGTGGAGTTCTTTGTTTGGTATGATTTTGAAATCTTCTAAACTATTTTAGGAGACTTCAAAATCATAAACATTATTTTATCTTCTCTCTTTTAATTTGGTTATATAACAAATACCTTCCATGCTTAGGAGTTAGGACCAAATCGTTTTTTTATCTCGACAAATAGCATGGAAGTCTATTTTATCTCGATGAGAGAAGGATCAATTATATAAACTATTTTATCTCAATGAGAGAAGGATCAATTATATAAACATTATTTCAATAAACTATATTTATATAAGCTTTTATTTTTCTTATTTTATTTAGAATATGAATAATGACCTTTCAAAAAAAATTATAATGTTAAAATCAAATGTGTAATTTGTGTATTAAGTATTTATCAAAAAATATGTATTAATTTGAAATTTAAAAGTATTAAATTAGAAATTCGATGTGAAAGATGAAGTGTCTTCATGAGAATAGAGCAAAATTAACTTTATATATAGA